TGCAGGCTCAAGGTCCATTTTGTCATCGGCAATTTGTAAAGCGTCGTGTGGCATTGCATGTATTTTAATTTTGTGCAGCCATCACTCATAAATCACAATCTAATATGGCAATTCGACAGGGAGGGTGAGAATGATGTATCGCCGTGAATCATACGGAATTGTCTATCTAGATAGACGTGGGCGGAATTTTTGTGTCACCACACGAAATGATTTGTCTACTTTTTTTAATAATTTTTTTATATAAATATAAATAATTTTAAAAAATAAAATAGATATCATAAAGATGCTAAATTTAAAAAATTTAAACTTAATAATTAACTAAATTCAAGATAAATTAGATTTGAGAAATATATCAAATCTCAAAAATTTAAACTTGATGATCAATCAAATTTAAAATAGCATGAGACCAACAACGACAAGCATGTTAAGTTAGATAGGCTTGGATTTGACAATCGACAAAGTCAAAAGGTAAAGTAGATTTGACAAATATGTTAAATTTTAAATAACTCGGGTTTGACAATCAACCAATATTAAGATAATATAGGTCCGACAAACATATCAAACTCAAAACACTCGGATTTAAATGATAGTCAAGCCAGCAATAACATGTATTTAACAGACATGTTAAACCAAAAGAACTCAAACTTGATAGCCAGCTAAATCCACGATAACATGGAGCTGATAAACATATCAAACTCCGGGTACCTGAGTTTGATAGTTAGCTGGACCCAAAATAATATGAATTTAAAAAACATATCAAGTCCAAAATATTTGGATTCAATCGTTACTAAGTTTAAAAGGCTATATGCAGAGCCTTAAAATAAAAGCATTGAAGACATGATAAATTGTCATGTTTCTCATTTATACTGAGGTGATAATTTTTCTATACTCATATGTGCATAAATTATCTTTTAAAGAACCTATAATATCTACTATATTGTTAACTATATATAAAAAATATTTGTTTACTATTAATATCGCCGATATAAGAGGACCTTTTAGTTCTTATCTTCTCTAAAAACAACAAAATTCAGGGTATAAGTACCATCTAGGTAAGGACTCCAAACTTTTTATCTTTTAAAATAAATTTATATAGATTTTAAGATATTAACAACCTTAAAATTTATAAACAAATACCTCTATTCCTTGAATTTAAAGATCTTTTAAGCCATTTGTTATATTTCTTATTAATATATATTAATTTTATCAATGAATGGTTTTTGAATCCCTTCAACTTAGACTGTTTTTACGGGTATTAAAGTTTTTATTGCGCACCTGAAATTTCCTAAACTAAAGAGAAAAAATCAAAGTTTTTAAATATATTATTGATTAATCACTATCTCATACTCTAAATAACTTATTATTTATATATCTTGTATTTTGAGATATCATCATAAATATTTATAAATATTCATAGATGTTATTTTTATCAAAAATTTCTAGGAATGAAATAAACCCTGATTTGTTTTTCTTGAAATTGATTTGTTAATATTTAAATTCTTTACGAATTCAAATTAGGAGCTGGTATCTTGCGAAAATACATGACTTTGACATACCTTATGGAACAAGATTTAAAGATTTAAAAGCCAACACTTCGAGAACAGTCAAAGACATCTCGTGTCAATAGCTTGATGTTGCATCAATAATATAATTTTTTTTCTTTTATTATCTTTTTATATGCCGGCCAAAGAATTTAAAATCAATGCCACGTCACCTCTTTTACCTTTTTTATATTTTTTTTGTCACCAAACAAAACAAAACAAGTGGGATTTTCTTATGATACGTGGCTCTTTTTTAAGTGGCCATTTTTTTTTCTACACTCGAATGGCAGGAGTTGTCGACAATGGATTGTTTGAATTCGAAATTCATGCACATTATAATTTAAAAGGGATATATATATGCCAACGACCAATTTAAATTCCTGTCACATGGAACATGGAGTTCTGTCACGAGATAAGCAGAGTGGTAGGTCCTCATTCAGCTGGAACTAATTTGCTGCTAAAAAAACACACAACATATATACTTTTTTATTTACAGCCTCTATATAGTTCGTGTTTTTCACAGTGCTAATGGAATCCGGCAGCAGCCCACTCTCTTTTCACTTGTCATAATCTTGGACTGCCATCATTCCTGGCGGTTGGATCGTCAAAATAAAACCCCCCTCTTCGAGGCATCTACAGACGCTTCTCGGATCCGGTCTCTCTCTCTCTCTCTCAGAGAAGACCAACCTGTTATCTAATGCAGGTCTACCCGCGCACCAGAACGACTGCTTGCCATGGGATAAACCCAGGGCCACCTACAAAAAAGTCGTTTTCATTATTTGCAGCGACACTCCAAAGCTTACGTAAACGACAGATCTTGGTGCTTTTTTTGGGGCCCAAGGAATGGAACTTTGATCTTGTGGAAGCAAGCTACTTGAAGATGGGATGCGGTTGTCAAATGGGCTACTTGGAAAAATCGGAATGGAAAATTAATGGAGAAGCAAAGCTAAAGCAGGCTGTCCAGGATCTTCCAACGTGTTCCAAATGACTCCAGGAGATGCCTTCCTTTGAGTACTGGTCGTGCTTGTGATTGTGTTCGAGGGTTTTTTTCAAAATTATTTTTTCAAGAATATATTAAAATAATATTTTATTATTTTAGCATTGAACCATCAAAACAATAAAAAGCGACTAAAAGATATGTTTTTGTGTTGGAACTGCAGGAAACTGTGATTTTGAAAATCTTTATATTAAAAATAAATTTTAAAAAATAAAAAATATTATTTTAATATATTTGTGACAGCTGGGATGATCAAATTGGAGATCAAAGCGACAAGAATTCAAAAAATTAAAGATCAACTGATAGAAGTAGAAATTTGAAGAGTATGTTTTCAAAATTTTAACTGCAACCAATTGACCTGTCAACTGGACGATGTAACACGTGGGAGACAATTTAATTAGATATTATTACATCTTATGTCATTTATTCAGACATCTACTTTTCAGTTTTTTGTTTTTTGGATATCTTTTTGGTTCAAATGTCCTGGATTTTAATTATTGACTAAACTTTTTGAACAAATAGCTAAAAAATACAGTTATTGAGTGATCAGTAACTAATAAATAAATATAAATTATTTGTTTATTTTAAATAACTCTTTACTCCACTTTGTTTTAAGAGAATCTAGAGTCATGGATCTTGATGGATTGGTTAAACTCTCTGAACAAATGATTGAGAATATCAGTTATTGAGTGACAGTAACTAATAAATGCAAATTATTTGATTTTTTAAAAATAACTTTGTTATCCACTTTGTTTTTATGAAAATCTAACCAGATTTTTCAGATTTTTTTAAAATAGAATATATTGTGTTGCTATAAAATGTATCCATGCTGTTTTTTTATTAATATTTGTTTTAAAATTGAATAACAACTATTTCAAAGTGAAAATGAATAATACAGTAAATCTTCACGTTATAAAAATGTGCTGGAATTTTATCTTTTCCATTGACATGAAATATGTTTCCTCAAAATAAAAAATAAAAAAACAGAAGCGTTATTGGGTTTCAATAATTAACTACCCACTAATACATGAACTTCAATTTTGAACCATTAACCAAACACAGACTAAAGCATCAAAAACATGGTTTTCCAATCGACGGCCCTACGCAATGGCGCCGGAAATCAGCTCCGACCACATTCCCGTACAGCACCCAAGTTTCTAACAATCTTTTTGGAAAAAGAAACAAGAAAGACCTGCATGGGCTAGATAAAGGAGGCCCATCTACTCTCTTCTGTGTATTTATAAATGGCTTGCTCACTGATTTCATCGAGGGCAATCCAAAAATGTCTCCTTTCAATTCGATGGATCAGTACAATAGAGGCCGAACCTGGATTTTGATGTGGTCGGATTTATACTGGATTGATGACCCAGAGCTTAGAAAACCTTCTTGATTTATTGGGCCAAGACCCATCTAATAAAAATATTAAAAATGTTTGCCTATACAGTCCAAGTTGCCCGTAATAATCGTCCCTCCTCTGTTTCAAACATGAGAAAAATACATTGAATTGGATGTTTCCCTTTCAATTATGGTCTGCTTATATTTAATTACAATATTAATTTAAAGCAGGTACCAGCTAGAGATCTTTATTTCTTTTATTTCTTTAAATCTTCTGTTCCTTGATTTAGTTAGTTTTGTATAATAGTTGAATGTAAGAAAAGAAAATAACCGAGCCAAATCTCTGAATCCCTTCCATATCAATTCTTTGATTCCCTTCAAATTCCTGGAGAGCTAGATGGACACCGTGCTTCCGGGCAAAGTTTTGAAAAATTTAAAATTTCCCCATGTTTCGAAGTAGACGATTTCAAAGGACTCGCATTCCATTGTTTGCCACGTAATTAACAATGTTCATACTTCAGCCCTAATCCTTGTATTATTCCTAGAACCTCGCAGAAGACACTAGAAGCTTGGAGACAATTGCACTTTATGCCATACCAATCCCCCATCTGATCTTTAATCGAACCTGTTGCTTGAGCACACGTCGTTTTTAGGTGCATGTTTGCTGGTGTTATGAAAAATTCTTAATTTTTTTTAACAGATAATAATATTAAAAAGAAAATTAAGAACTAAAAAAATATTATTTAAAATTTATTTTTAATAAAAAATATTTTAAAAAATAAACTTATGCAATCCAAACAGCGGTAAAAACCACTTATCTTAAATAGTGGACCCTACGGGAAACTAAATTTGCCCTTAATCAATTGGTCGACGCGCAAAGACTTTTCTAGAACTAGACTGTATCCCTCGCACCCTTCATGCTCAAACCAAAAAATGTCCCTCGGTGCAGTGGGCTATCTGGCCCATTCCAGAATGAAGATTGGCTTGCACATCAAAATCCCTTGCCAGTTCCAGAAAGATCGCTACTCTCTCTCTTCCCTTGTCTTGAAGCCTCTCGAACCTGCCATATAAATGAATGCTTACCAAAATACCCCTTTTCTTTTCCTATAAACGGCTTTCTCATTCAATTCACACTAAGAACAACTAACGCAAACAATCAGCTCTAATTCTCCAAGCAGCTAGTTTTCTCGTTGTCCGCCTTTTTAACCTTTTCGCCTCAAATACCTCAACAAGTAACCAAGAAAATGTCTCTCATCCCAACCTCCCTCTTGGGTGGCCGAAGAACCAACGTCTTTGATCCTTTCTCTCTTGACATCTGGGACCCTTTCCAGGACTTTCCCTTCCCGAGCACAGCCCTATCAGCCCCACGTTCAGAGGTCGCCAAAGAAACATCAGCATTTGCCAGCACACGCATAGACTGGAAGGAGACCCCAGAGGCTCATGTTTTTAAGGCTGATCTTCCGGGGCTGAAAAAAGAGGAAGTGAAAGTGGAGATAGAGGAAGGTAAGGTTTTACAAATAAGTGGAGAGAGAAGCAAGGAGAAGGAAGAGAAAAATGACAAGTGGCATAGAGTTGAGAGATCGAGTGGTAAGTTCTTGAGGAGGTTCAGATTGCCTGAGAATGCTAAAGCTGATCAGGTTAAGGCTAGTATGGAAAATGGGGTCTTGACCGTGACTGTGCCTAAAGAGGAAGTCAAGAAGCCTGATGTTAAGTCCATTGAGATCTCCGGTTGAGACTCTACAGCGCATCATGGGTCCGTTTATGGAGTGTTGTAGTGAGTCATGGTGAATCCAAGTGAACAAATAGAATTGTGTGCGAAAGACTCGTGGAATGGATAATGTGATGTGTTTGTGTGCTCTGTTTCTTGTGTGCTACTGAGTTTCTTCTCTAATAAAATTGTGTTTTGTTGTTTTTGTTTCTTCGATAGAAGATGCGGTTTTCAACGTAAGTAGAGACTCTCTGAAGCCAAAGATTAGCTTTTTAAGAAGGGGTTCACAACCAGAGAATAGGAGGGAGTTTTGATAGCATTAATCAGAACAGCTAAGTCCATGTTACCGCGCTAATCAATAGCCAATAGCCCGCGTAATTTCTAAATTAAAACACTCCTAAATTCGCAATAAAACCACGCAGCCATCGTCTCTTTCCATTACAAAAGAGATCCCCTGCACGAGCAAAGCCTGGACAAGACTGGCTGCATTTGTAATTTACAAACCAATCGCCTTAACATGAGAAATCGAGACTCTCCTCTCCGTTGCGAAAATATTTAAAACTCGCTCATTCCTCCGCTTCCAGATCTTCGAAACCGCCACAACAAAGAGCAAGAAACACCAAAGCCTTTAAGGTTATCGACCAAGTAAGATTCCAGAGAACCCAGCAAAAAGATTTCCCGCTATGCTCACTCATCCAATTTATGCGAATTAGCTTTGGTTCTCCAACAGTCTCTAAGAGGAGGAAGCACGTACATTTTCCACAATACTGGATAATCAATAACATAGTGAATTTACATGATGTCCGATGCCGCAAGCTATGGGATAATATTTAAGAAATTTGTTTAGGTAAGATTTTTAGTTAATTACTTCATCTGACTAGTATTGGACTTGAATAAAGTAAAGTGCCAAGCTTATTAAAAATGAAAGTTGGTTTGGGCACGTTACCAAAACTTAAATATGTTGCGCTCGAGCTTAATAGATTCAGCTTCAAAGAATGATGGGTGAATGCATAGTATTAGTTGGGTATACCCTGCACTAGTTTATGCTCAGTGCACTACATGGTACCCATACACCTATAAAATATTATGTATTTAGGATACCATATACCATACTAGAGCCCATATTTCTTTGATGTTTTTTTGAGTTTTTCTTTTAAAATTTTTCTTCAGGTCCATTTTAGGAAATGTTTTGGATCTATCAATATCTCTCAAAAAAATTTTAATATTAATTTATAAAGATGTGTAAAATGCTCAGTGCATTGCACGGGCGGATGCCTTATATAGGTTTACGCTGAGTGCATGGGCTTGGAAGCCCATGTTCCTAGTGTGTGGGCTTGGGTTCCTTGGATGTTTTTTTAGTTTTCTTTTTATTTTAGAGGATTTTTTTTGTTTATTCTGAAGGATTTCTTGTCTATTTTATTTGGATTCATCAATTATGATTATTTAAAATTACATTAAAAATCAATCATAAATTTAAATTAGAGGGGGGAAAACTAGTAAATATTGAAAAAATTAACATATTATCAAAAAAAAAATCTAATAATTGTGTCCAATTACTAAACAAACTTCGCAGGCTACTATGAAAATAGTTAAATTATCAATAAATGATATAAAAAATTATCTCAAATCAGAATTAATAGTCTTCGAAACTTATGCATAATAAGAGATTTAATAATATTTTTGCACAACTCGGACATGGGTGAACACTTCGTGGCTGATATTTTAACTCGTGTTTGAGAGCGTGGTTCTGGTTACTTTTCAAAGTATTTTTTTTTGTTAAAAAATATATTAAAAATATATTTTTTTTATTTTTAAAAAATTATTTTTGATTTTAATAAATTAAAATGATATAAAACATCAAAAAAATTAATTTAAAATAAAAAATAAAGTAATCAATTTTTTAAAAATATAAAAAGAGTTCGTCTCTCTTATCCGCTTGAGACTTACCCGTTGCCATACGTAAGGCTGAACTCTGGGGTATGGTCAGATCTTAAAGTAAGTCGTAAGGCTACAAATACCAGGTCCAACTTCCGCCTCCTGTCCAAAATTTCAAATGGCCTAGGAACCATGATCCGAGGTCCAGTTACAAATCCCAACTCTGTCCATGTCCAAAACCCTCCACACAGTGCCGGCTCTGCCACGGACATTTTCTCAGATCGCAGCAACCCAGAACCAACGCTCCAATACCTCGATCAACCTTATTTATGCATAATAAAAGTAGACGCAACTATTCAAAAAATTCAGGACCGCAACAACCATCTTGCACTTGAATAGACCCATCTGTCCAGTGTCCAACATTGCGGGTTGCGGCAAGAGTTATTGCCCTGTTAAAATCTTTGAGACCTGGGGATGGGGCTGCCCGGCAGCTGAGATTTAGAAGTTGCTCGAAACAGCTGTGGGTGTTTTTGTTCAGTTTTTTTTTCCTGCAAATTACATGAAAAAAAAATATTTTTAATATTAATATATCAAAATGTTACAAAAATAAAAAGAAATAATTTCAAACAAAAAAATTATTTTTTTGTAAAAAACTCAATCCAACCCCTGCCAACATCAAACACACTCTTAAATTAGGTTTAACACTGGTCGCTTTCACTGCAATAACTTTAATAAATCTGGTTTATTTTTTCTTTATGCTGTACGTACGTGTATTTCCTCGGAAAATAAGATGCCATGTAAAAGAAGAGTGGCGGACAGTACATTTGATCCATGAATCATTTTCATCGTGCCCTCTAGCATGAAATTTGATACCGAAATTTCTTGTCAGCTTTTGTCTTGCGCACAAAAAATGAATAATTCTAGCGAAGGAGAAAGAAAATTATAACAGGGATTCCGTTGATACTCGTAGGTGTGTGTGCCTATATATATATATATATATATATATCAATTAATTAGGTTGTTCAAATTTTTATATTTAGTGCACTTAACTAGTTTTATATATTCTAAAATTAATAATAATGTAAATCTTAAATAATTCAAAAACACTCAAACTTTTAATTATAGAAAAATAATTTATAATTTAACTAATTAAATTATTTTTAATTATTTTTTTATTAATATTAAAATCGGATCAACTTGTATATACATCACTATCTATCATATTAATATCCATAAAGTTCGAAATTAACACCACCTACCCTCTATTATTATTTTGCCGTGAATGTGAATCTGTAACAGTATATTAGCTTCATGATTTAGGATTCCATCTCCTTGCTGTCTCCTTTTATTTACAGCGACCTCATCCGTAGCAAAAGAGAGACAAATCATATGATTGCTGTAAAGCACGCTGCCCCCCATGGTTGGCATCATGTAAGGCACCACCAAGATTATCATTGTTGTTATTTTGATTTTGAGAATGGCACCGCCATTTCTTTAATTAATTATGATATATTTTTGCACAAGAAAATGCATATATAGCACCACCGACGACGGATTCTGTGGACCTCTTGGTCGATCCTTTAATTACAGGTAGGTGTTAGAATAATATAATATATGTGATGTCATTTTTTATTAACTTTAAAGATATTATTTAAAAACATAAACATGGTACCAAATTACAATGGGCAATACCTATTTATCATTCGGGTAAATAGTACGAGAGTAATTTTATTATTCGTATAAACGGTTAAACAAGCTAATATATTTTTTAAATTATTTCTCAACATCTTTGTCATGTATCGTAGCTAGTTAAAGAAGTGTTGACTGATACAAAAATTGTTGGCTAGAGTCAAGCTTGGAATGTTATCCGGATTTACGCCACGAATCAGCAACTGCCGCTTATCAAATGATATTTATTAAAATAAAATGGGTCGCACGCTATACACCCCAGTCTATTTAATTAAGTGGTTTAAGCGATGGTTATGAAATCCAGAGAGTTACGCGAGTTCGATTTCTGCATTAACTTTAGTTCAAATTTATTTCTTCATTTTTTATAATATTACATCTAACTAATTATTTCTTCATGATCTATTCCTTTTGTAAAAAAACATTACTTACAACTAATTAGTTTTTTCACTTTATCATTACATAAAACTAAAATAAGCTGTTTAATATTATACACTAGTTATTTGATACATGATTTCTCATAAGGTAGATAATTTTACTTTTTAATAAAAAATATTTTTTTTCAATGTAATTTTTTTATTTTTTTAAAAATAACATAAACTAAGCATCACATATTTATATTTAATAAATTAATTTAATTTAATTAAAAAAATATCTAAATGGGTTAAATTAAAAAAAACAACAAATTAAAAGTCTCATGATAACTAGATGCATTTTCAAAATCAATGAAAAATTCTATAGAAAATAAATAAATAAAAAATAAAAATCTACTCTTGAATTAAATAAATACTAAAAGGTTAAATTTCAAAAACACATACTTAAAAAAATAAAAATAAAAATAAAAATAAAAACAAGCAAATAAAAATAAAAACAAGCAGCTCAATTCCCAATTTATTCAATACCAAGTGATGAAACCATAAAAAATTATAATTTAAAAGGTTTTGCAAAGTTAATAAAACAATCATAAATGTTAAGTCAAACACAATAAATATAAATTAAAAGAACAAGGAACAAATATAACAAGTAAAATAATTAAAGAATGATAAAATTTTAAAAATTATTTTAAATAAAATAAATAATAAAAAAAATTAAAAAACAACTTTAAAGTTTTGCATGGACAAATATAAAAAATCAGGAGCAGAGAGAAAGAAAAAAAAATAAAAAGCTTGTTGGCATCAAATTCAAAGGTCAATAAACCATTTATATTATCTAATGATATAAGGGCCGCTAAGATGATTTGAACATTATACAAGAAGACATTGTTGGGGCATCCGAAGCCTCTCCATCTGCCACCCCCCGAATGATGCAGGAGTAGCTCACACTCTGATATACAAACTATATATGTTAATAATTTTTTAAAATAATATTATATTTTAAAGATTATCAAGTTGACTCTCCATCAATTTGGTCATGTAAAAAAAAAAGAAAAATCAAGTCAAAATAGCAAAACATTCTTGACCACAAAATGAATGATATTTTATTTTTTTAAAAGTAACTTTGTATTTTACTACACGTAAAAAAAATAAAAAACATCCATTGCATTTATTTTTTAATTATATTTTTTCAATTGCAATGTAAATGTTTTATTGTGCATAGAAAAATAAAAAGATTGATGTATCTCCTATTACAGTACGGGAATGACCAATTGAT